GGGGGGGGGGGGGGGGGGGGGGGGGGGGGGGGGGGGGGGGGGGGGGCATTGTGGTTGTTGTTGGTTGTTGCTCACGTCGCGAGAGTTATTTTTTAGTCCTCAACTCGTGTGCGAGTTTTGTGTGCAACGAAGTGGATCCACCGTTGGTAGCACTACCGACCCTCAATCGAGCGTGTTTTCCTGCACGAAGGCTGGAGCAGATGAGCGGATGCACTGCGGCCGATATGGCGAAGGGTCCGCTCACGGATAGGACATGTGGAAACGTAGGGGTGTGCACGAGGGAGACGGAAATGATGGTTATTTTGTGGTCTATCGCCCGGAAACGAGATAAGAAGAGGTTATTTTCATATCGTCGAATCTTGGCATCCGTTTCCCCGCCGTTTCCAGGCGGGATTAGCGATGATCTCCTGCAAACGTCGGCGAGACAAAACCCCACGCCATTGTTTGGGTGTATTCGAATTATATTGTTACTAGGTCCCAGTGTGATGATAAATAGTAGGAGTCGGAGGCGTTTCTGGTGGTGATGTGTGTTTTTCCTCGTGCCACCTTTCTTACCTGGCCCTGTGGTCTCAGCCGACTTCTTTTGGTAAATCGAGCCGTGGGCAACGGGTGGTCTGCATATGTAGCATATGATGCGTTTTATGGCGAGGCACTCTTGTGGTCATTTTTCCCCGCAGGCGTGCTTGTGAAACCAGGTATATATATTTTTCGGTTGGCGTCCGAGAGGTATCTCACCTTTTAGCTTGGTTGGCGAGCGCATTTTTTGCTTTGGCTTGCCAGCCCTGGAATAAGACAGCCTACCTAATACTCCGCACATACACTCCATCCTTTCATCGCGCATGCTCAGCCGCTGGATGTGTGCTACTTGTAGCGCCGCCAAACGATTCTTGAGGAGTTCTTATGGACTAGGTTTATTTTGGGTATTTTTCAATTTTCAGTTCTGGGGACACAATAATATACTGGTACACTGATTGATTGTGCCTCCCCTCGTCCTTGCTGTGCACCCGGGTATGTATTTCGTGTGTGCTTTCGCCCACGGGCCGCGCCTCTTGGCACGTTGATTGGTGAAGGACTGGGGGTGATTGTGGCGTGCCTCCCCTCGTCCTTGCTGTGCACCCGGGTACATACATGCATGGATGCATATGTATTTCGTGTATGCTTTCGCTCACGGGCCGCGCCTCTTGGCTCGATTGATTGAATGGTATCTACCGCTGGTATGCATAGGAGGTGTTGCAGCATTTATTGGGTCCGTTGATAGCAGTGTTTTTTCGGGCGCGCCGATCACCTACTGAGTCATCCACGCGTCCACTCGCAGCAGCCTAGTGTAGACCTACATATATGTATCCATCCATTGAATAGTGGAAGAAGACTGTTTTTGTGGTCCTCCAAAGTGAGATAGATCTTTTGCATGCGGTGTAGCCTTTTTTTGTCTAGCTTGCAGCATCGCGTTATTTGCCGACGAAGTGATTTTTTATGATCTCCCCCCTCCGTTCCGGCGCCAGTCTACACAGCTTTCGGTGCGAAAATGTCGGCGTATGTATCAGGAAGGCCACCTAGGCTTGCAGGAGGAAAAGCTAGCACGGACCACAAGAGGAGTTTTTTTTTTTTTTTAACGACCCACCCAATTCCTGGCGTTGATGTTCATGTTGATGCCAATGTTGAGTTACAGTGCTAATTGATTTTCCTTGGTCTTGATGACGATGGGGACAACAACATTGACAAAATGTGGAATGCTTACGACATGTAGCGGGCTCAGGACAAGAGGTCCCGAACGTGCGCGTGTGGATGGATGGCATGGGAACCGACAAAAAAGTAATTCATCTAGCCAAAGCGAAATCTATCCTCGAAACGCTCAATGCCCGCTACAATGGGTGGCCCGATATAGTGCCGGTTGAATAGTGCCGGTTGCCGGTATAGTGCCGGTGTTTTCGGCCCGCACACACCGGAATATCAAGTCTTTCTGTACTCTGAATAGTGCCGGTGCCCGGTATAGTGCCGCTTTGCTCTCTGAACACATACCGGCACTATAGAGGGCCCCCTACTGTAGCTGTTTTCCATACGAGGGATCAAACATGTGGCGCAAAACAAAGCAGCACCTTATTTATCGATGGAGGAGGTGGTTGTGTCTCAAATTCTTGGTGTGTTCGAAAAATAACAAAATTTGGTCGCCCGGACAATACACACACAAACACGTTCGTTCGATGGAGGCATCACTTACGCCTTGTGAAACTCCACAAGTAATCTGTCGCGAGATTTTGCTATTATACTGTAGTGATCGTTTAAGGAAGAAACGAGAAAACAAGCAGGCACTGCCGTACGATTTGTGTTTTGGACCTGCTTCAACGTTCGGTCGAGGATGAGGGGAGAGAAGAGTGAACAGAGGAATTGGAATCGTGTCTTGTGACGCCCGCAGCAAAAATAAAAGGACGGCGGATGGAGTGTCATTGTCAAACCTACACCCCAAGGACATCCATTGTCTCTTCTTGGCGATGCGCAAAAAAAAGTCGTTCGTTCGCCGATGGGACCAAGATTCATTCCACGAACGGACGTCTTCCGCTACGGTCAGTGCAGCACTTTACTTCCCCTCTCCCTCTCTGCGATGGTATGAAAAGAGGGCGTCAGTCGCACGTTGGAGAGGTTTTTATTGGAATCTTTCTTCAAAGTCTATAATGGCTTGCTTGGTTGCCGAATCTCTTAACTCCAAGAGGATAGCACACATGCACAACAAGGACAACAAGCGTTTTCCCAAGCAACCCCGGCAGAACGATGCTGGGATCGTCAGCAAAACAGGTGATGATGCACTGTTGGAAACCGAGCTGTCGCTATTACTGCCATCAGCTGCAATCTCGTCATCATTTTTTTACATATTCCACTTGTCAAAGCTTGGTTTTGTAGTATCTGGTTTGGTCGATCAGTCAGAGGAGACGAATCTACTCGTTCGATAATGCTTCATGCAGCATTCAGACGTGCGACAAAAACGAGGCGAACACCAATATTATACCGACGCGCGCTACAATTAGATTGCCTTCTTTCTCGCCCACCCTACCCTCTAACGACCCACGACAGACAGGTACAAATCCATCCTCGACTGCTTGAGCCATCAACTTCCACAAAACGGAAACAGAGGACATAAATGGGTCCAAATTTCCTCGACAACGACACCACAACAGGAAACCATGTGCTCGAAATCGAATCAAACGAAAAAAAGGGTCAACATTTGACCGACCACGTGATGGCGTGCTCGCTATATCGCCAGGCGCGGCGACAACAGCACAAGCTACAGCGGGCAGGCCCGGGGAAAACTTATGGAAGCCAAAGCCGCCAATCTATGTTGTTCACGTGTTAGTTCTTAACCGCTCTGCATTTCAGCAACTACCAACGTGAAAGGAAGCGCACGGCCAGAAAGAATTCGCGGATTAAACCCCTGCATCGTGCCGACCGCTCGTCGTCTCTACATCCATCCGCTACATTCTGACCTTGGTGTGCCAGCGCGCCTCACACGCCGACCGGCTCGTAAATGTGTGTTCGAACCCCAACGTCATGCTACCCCTGACACCGTAAAACTCCAGCACCAGCACACGGCAGCAAGGACACCGCGAACGCCAGCAGCAAGCGAGCGTCCGTACAAAACCATCAGACAATACACTCTTCCCTGGCAAGGGCTAAATCTTTGCATCGAAGGTCACCCACCTACATAGTATCATGTACCCCCCAACACATAAGAGTACCCCCCCACGCCGCCATGGCCCCTCCCCTTTTGGACAGAAACAGGACGCGATTGGTCTTGTGTGCGCCCCATACATACTGCGGAATGACCTAGAAGTACACACTAAAAGTCTATGCCGAAAAAATGAACCGCACGGAAAGGAAAAGTGACGCAAGGGTTTGGCGCACGCTCATGCGCTGGAGACCAAACTGCTCCTTCCCTCGTTGCACTTAAATTACCATGCAGCTCCTGTCTCCGACCTTAAATGCTAAGCGACAAGTCAAAGCAACTAAATGCCCTTCATGCCGAGGGGATAAGGCCCCGCCAACCAAGACCGCCCAACAAGCGCACTCGAACGACCGCGGCAGGAACAACAAGAAGAGAGGCACGGGCGAAAACGGGCGGCGGGTGATCTGGCAACCGCCAAATAAGCATAATACACAGGGGGCGCACACCCAAAACCGGTCTGAAGAGAATACGGTAAGAGCGGCAACACAACAAACAGGCGAATGATTCCCTCACGCGTTGGACCGATCAACACATGTATCTCTCGTTCCCCCTATCCCTCCCCTGGGGCGCGCGCGAAGTGCACGATCGAAGCCCACCGGAAAGAGCATCTAACCAACGACCAAGTACTGAGACCGCCACCAGCACCATCCCTTTTGAAAATCCCGTCCGAATGTCATCTTCATCCTCAGAAAAAATAGCACCCTCCTTTGTGCCACATGGACGATAAAGGAGGAAACCTAGCCCTCCCCTCCGTGGGCCCAAACCCATCTCCTCGACACCGAAAGGCATGATCTCCGCTGGTTGTCTTACTCCTCGTGGGACACACTGTTGTTGCTCTCAAAAAAAGGCGGGCAACACACCACCACTGTCCTGCAGTGCAGCTCGGTTGGCAGCTGCTAATACTAAATAAGCACGCATGAAAAAAAGCTCGAGTAAAACAAAAAAAAAATGCGGGGCGCTACCCATGAGTGTGACTAGACCGGCCATGCCAAGAAATCCAGCAAGAGACGTGTGCAACGTCTCCAAGGTGAAACACGTCCTCACAAACAGCGAGCACTTGAAAAAAAAACAAAACTACATAGATTTCTTCCCCTCGCGCATCAGCAGCGCGACAGTATAGACAGCCTAGCTTTTGCACCGAGAAGCCGTCGTCCTACTACCTTGGACTAAATACCTCTCCTTCGATACCACCTCAAACCACACGTCGGTAAACTCGCGGCTGCCCTTGGCTAAAATACTCTCGCTGGTGATGGTCCTATTCGTACTACGATCGCACCGTAAACGTTTCCCGCGTCATGGCGGTGGTGCCCCTCATAGCCGCCGCCGCCGCCGCCGCCGCCGCGCCGCTTAGCGTGCGGTGTGGTCCATAAGCCCCAAACCCTATCTATGATGTACATACAGTCTGCCTGCTTACGAGACCAAAGGAGAACAGTCTCCGAGAATGTCGTTGGCGTTCGCTTCGTACGTTCCTGTTCATATCTCACACAAAACAAATATACATGGTCAAACAGCCCGGGCTACAACCCCTCGGAAATTGCAGCACGAAGGAACTACTCTCGTGCGAAGGATTTGTACGGGAACAAAGCAGTGCCATGCCCCAGGATTGACACCATCGCCCATTAACCTTCCGGGGAACATGGGAGGAGCATCAAAAACACCAGGCTTCTTATGTACAAGAGGCCCAACCCCCCCCCCCTTCCACCCCCGTACAAAAAAAACAACACCACGTACCCCCCGAGCACCCTCGGCATACACAATACTCTCCCTATCGTCCACTACTATTGTATATCCACTCCTAAAACAACCAAACGAAGACTATGACAAAAAGAAAAGTGCGAAATAAATGAACCCTGCTTGAGGGGCAAAACGAACGGGATCATCATGTGTACTGCTGGGATACTATCGTACGTTCTCCACGCGAGAAAAATAAGAAAAAACGTGCCATGCATACACTGATGCACGTGTACGCCGATGCGTGGCCTTCTCGATTCTCTACCCGGTTACGTCCCTTCCCGTTCAGCCCCGTCCCGGGATGGAAGCATTCCGGTGGTCGACCGGTGGAAGCCGGAACTCTCGCTTCCTTACACCCACGACGAGACCATATCAAGATACATACCCCTCCTCCCGTTTCCCCTCCGCAGCCCCCCCCCCCCCCCCCCCCCCCCCCCCCCCCCCCCCCCCCCCCCCCCCCCCCCCCCCCCCCCCCCCCCCCCCCCCCCCCCCCCCCCCCCCCCCCCCCCCCCCCCCCCCCCCCCCCCCCCCCCCCCCCCCCCCCCCCCCCCCCCCCCCCCCCCCCCCCCCCCCCCCCCCCCCCCCCCCCCCCCCCCCCCCCCCCCCCCCCCCCCCCCCCCCCCCCCCCCCCCCCCCCCCCCCCCCCCCCCCCCCCCCCCCCCCCCCCCCCCCCCCCCCCCCCCCCCCCCCCCCCCCCCCCCCCCCCCCCCCCCCCCCCCCCCCCCCCCCCCCCCCCCCCCCCCCCCCCCCCCCCCCCCCCCCCCCCCCCCCCCCCCCCCCCCCCCCCCCCCCCCCCCCCCCCCCCCCCCCCCCCCCCCCCCCCCCCCCCCCCCCCCCCCCCCCCCCCCCCCCCCCCCCCCCCCCCCCCCCCCCCCCCCCCCCCCCCCCCCCCCCCCCCCCCCCCCCCCCCCCCCCCCCCCCCCCCCCCCCCCCCCCCCCCCCCCCCCCCCCCCCCAGCCTCAACTTTCCATCGAGCCACGTACATAAAACCACGCCGGAAAAACCGTTGTCCAGCCGGAAAAAAAAAAAACGTTTTTCCACAAAGCATCCACTATGCCTGCTCACCCCCGAACGCGGCGGGCGTCGAGCTCGGGTTCGGCCCGATCATGCCCCCAGATCTCCCGGCCTTCCCAGGCTTGCCAGACTTCGCCGCGTTGTTCGGCGGCGGGGACGCCTTCGTCCTTGTCTTGGCCCCGACAGCAGCAGCAGCGGCGGGGACGGTGGCGGGGGGCGCGGTGGCGTGGGAGTTCGGGCCGCTTCCCGCGGATCCGTTCGGCGTCTCCTCGCTGCCCGGCAGCGGGGATTTCTTGTAGCCCGGGGGCACCGGGGACTTCTTGTAGCCGGGGACTGGGGATCTTCCGTTTGCCGGGGTCTCTCCGGTGCGGGGTTTTGCTGAAGAAAGGGCAAGAGAGAGAGAGAGAGAGAGAGAGGGCAGGGTGAGAATGGGGACGGGGTGGGACGGCTAAGATATACTGCTGTCTACGTACTCTACATGATGCCGAGTAGCTGAGTATCGCCTCAAGTCTATATCCTCCTCTGCTTCCCTTCTCCATTTTCGTCGAATTGCAAGCCGGTCTGCGCCAACAAGAGGCCAATCACGCCCGCGTCGACCCTCTACTCGAAGAAGCGGCTTCGGCACTTTCGCGGATATCGTCGCCACACGACCACTAGAGAGTCGGTCCTACGGAGGCGCTACTGGGACGTACTTGTACGTGTGCTGCGACCGCATACATTGTCGTAACTGTATGATGGCTCACCGACAGCGCGAGTCTTGACGGGACCCCTCCCACTGGAGTCGCCATGCGCCTGCCGGCAAAGCACGAAGAGGCAGCAAAGGAGCACGGCGCCCACGCATCCGCACGCGATGTAGAACCACTGCTGCTCGTACCACTCGTCCCCCGGCTCTGCCACAAACTCGCCTGTCCAAATTGTTTTTTTGTTCGGTGGCGGGGGGAGGGGATCGGTCGATCACATGCGCAAGGGGGTCACGCCGACCGAATTTGAGGTATAGGCTCAAGACTAGTGAGGTAACCGGACAACATGCTTTTACGAGAACGCTCGGTTTGACAGGTCACGCCAGCAGCGGTGCTAGCTCGTTCAGCTGCAAGACCTCCACCAACTACAGCAGCGGCAACAGTCAGCAACAGCAGCAGGGAGCACCACGCAGCAGCAACTAACCTCCAAGGTTGGCCATTTGGAGGTTCTCGCCCATCTCCCCCTCCTCGTCCCCGATGTGCTCGGTCTCGCTGATGCCGAGGCCGATCTGGGGCAAAACACGGAGATATCAGACGCGACGCATCCAAGGGGATGGTTACACTGCGGGCAGCGTTGCAGGTAGCCTTGAAATGCCCCACACGGTAATTCCTTTACAAGGTACCACAGCTCTGCTGCTTCTTATATGATCACTGCCCTCGCAACACCTGCGGAAAACATGGCATGCCGCATGGATCCTAGGAAAACTAACATCTGGAGCCCGAGCCACCCCATCATTTAGCTACTGCCATTAGCGGAGTCCCGCGCGCCACAACAGCAACAAAAACGCCACCAAAACACGAAACCCCCCTATATGCAAGGAGATGACAACCAGCTTCTGGTTCATTCCTTAGATAGCCAGGGGCAGCGATCGCTCCGTCTCGGCATCGCGAGGTCAACGCTCTGACGACTACAGCGTGTACACGAGTACACCCCCCCCCCCCACGCACACACCTGTCCGTTGAAGTTGGCCCCCCAGCACACGACGCTGTCCACTGAGCCGATCTCCGACCCAAGCGCACACGTGTGGTAGTAGCCCGCGGACAGAGAGTGCAGCGTCCAGCCGGTGGGCAGCGAGATCGCTTCCAGGTTGTCCCCCATCTGGTTGGGGGCCAGCCCCCTCGGCTGAGTGTCCTCCTGGCCGAGCTCCCCGTAGTCGTTTTCGCCCCAGCACTTGACGTCGTAGTTGTCGAGGAGGGCGCAGGTGTGGTTTCCTCCCGCTGTTACCTCGATGGCCGTGCGGCCGGTGCCGAGATCGATGGGGTCCTGGACGGGGCGGGGAAGGGGGGTAAGGGGAGAATGGCGAAGCGAAAAGACCGTTCACAAAAAGGAAATATGACGTAAGGACCAAGAGGCGACAACAACCAGAGGACTCAAGCAAGGGGCACGAGGCGTCAGCACCAAGGTTGGCATGTATGATGATGAAACTCCTCACACTCCCAAGTCGGTTTCACGCAACCCTCCCCCCCCCAAAAAAAAAGACGGGCAGGAAACTCTCAGTCGTGATCGGACACTACAAACAGTTGGTTGACCCACCGCAGTGTGTAGTCTGCGAGTACATGTTGCAGACAGAGACTTGGCTTCACAGCGAGCTGCGTTTGCAGGCAGAGGGGAAAAGCAAATCTGTGCAGGCGGACGATGACAACGCACTCACCAGGGAAGACACGTCTTCTCCTTCGCCATCGCCGACGTTCATGGCGTTCCCCTGCCCGAGCTGCACAACAGCAACAGCAACGATAAAGAGGGGCGACAGTCAGGCACCGGGGCCCGGGGTGACGGAGCGAAGGCCGGGCTCTTCGTGCGAGGAGGACGGTGTTCTTACTTATTCTCCTCGTAATCGCAGACAGTATTTGTCTTGACAAGTGCCCAACGCCAGAGGAAGGCAAACACGTCTTCAGCCCGCAGTCACGCGCTCCGTGGGTCCACCCGCTAAAGCTACATCTTGCCGGAGGTCCGTCTTGTACCAGACGATAATTTTCTCAACACAGACACACAACGCGCACAGCGCAGCCACTCCTCCGCTCCACGCGGACTCTCCGTGTGCCGTTCTTTCCCCACCCTTCCGCCTTATCCGCCGCACCTGTCCGGACGACCCCAAGCCCCAGCAAATCAGATCGCCATCCTCTAGGATAGCGCACCTGCAGCAGGACGGCCGGCAGCAATGACGGCAGCGGTTTCAGCAGGGAGAGCACCAATGGCAGGGGCGACACCAAGTGGAAGGTGATGTGCGACAAGCGTAAATTTCCAGAGGCCTTCAACCCCGCTACCGTGTACCATTACACGGCGAGAGGCCTGGCCGTAGTCAATAGCGCAAACGTAGGAGCAGCGGGGCACAGCCGAGGTACCCAGTCGTGGGGCGATGCAATAAGCCGTCAGCGCCACCAGCGCCCGTAACACAGCCACTGCTAGATGGGGACCGTGTCTTGCCACGGGATATCCGTGGACGGAAGGCGAAAGATGGTAACACGTGACGTGCTCGTGAGAAGAGGACCTGAAACAGCAACAACAACACGACCGATGCAGTAGCACCGAGGTCACACTCCACCAACACATCATCGAAACTAAAACACCACTCCATACCACGGTAAGTAAGGCTCACGTGTGCTCTTCGCCAGCGGCAATGGCTGTCGCCTTCTTGCCGTTAAGGTTTACCGTGTCCAAGTCGTCACCCATCTCTCCCGGATCATCTCCACGGTTTTCCGTGTCGCCGTAACCCAGTTGTCCCGCGTAGTTCTTCCCGAAGCACTTCACGTCGCCCCCGTCAAGAAGAGCACACCTTGCAACCAAGACGACAAAAAAAAAAAACGGGAAGAAAGCATCAGAAATGGTTACACCAAAAAAATAGTCAAGACGCTGCACTCCAACAGGATCGCATCCTGCGCTACGACGCAAGTAGTATTTTAGTCCTCCTGGTCCTGTCCTCTACCAGGTACTGTATGACGGACGGGGACAACGGATCGCCGCTCACGCACGCCGCAGTTGCCATAGCGGCCACATAACGAGACGGGAGGGAAAAGAGACTGCTGTGGCAGCAAAACGCGCGTTCAAGAACACACGAGGAACGCACGACGCTGCCGCTCCCAAGCCTAGGGTGACACAGAGCCGGGGCGGGGCGCCCCTTGACGATAGAAATGTTGCAAAAAGCACTCTCTCTCTTTTGCCGTGTCGACAATTGGTCGCCCAAAAGACGTGGCATGGGTGATACCTGTGCTCTAACGCTCCTAGAAACTGTTCAGAGCGTTTCTAGAACCGCCCGTCTTCAGTTCACGTACTCTTCCTCGAAACAATATCTCTCGTTGGACCGAAACCGCTCTTTCGCTACTTCTGGTGTTATTTTTTCTCACGAGTGCCAGTCGCCGAGCGCCAGAGAAAAAACTCGAGCGTTCGATCCGAGATCGACAAAGTCCAAGTTGTCGCCCATCTCATCCGGATCATCTCCACGGTCATCTTTGTCTTCCAAGCCGAGCTCACCCCACTGGTTATAGCCTGGGGAAACAAAAAACAAACGGTGCTATGGATTTGTTTGTCTTGGACTTTTTTTTCTTTTTCTTAGACCCTCATCTATGTAGGAAGTAAATGGATTTGCTGTATTGGTAAACTTGTACAATAAAACCATGGTGCCCGCGCCAACGAGAGAGGAAAGGTCACAAATCTGTCGCGGGGGTTATTCCTCCGCAAAAAAAAGTTGCACCGCCGTTAATAACGAATTGCTCAGCAACCGAGGTTTCTCCGCCAACAAACACTATGAATTGATTGATAACCGTAGCCGGGACTCTCTGTCTGTAGAAGAGATCTGTGTTGTGTTTCAAAACCCCCAAATAAAAACTTCTACACGACAAATACTAAACCTCGTAAAACCTGCGGCGCCTTTCCCGTGTATGCAAGCAACGATGCGCGCAAGGCTGAGAGAAACGGCCCAACTGCAAAAGCAGACGAGCTGACCGAGGACCGCATCATGGCTCTCCTCTTCCGTCTAAAAATAAAACATCGGTGTGTTCATGGCTCTTCTTTTCCATGCAAAAGTATAACATTGTTGTGTTTGTTTTATCACAGGCTGTGATGTTTTCCTATACTTGCTGCAAGGTTGCACAAGAAAAGATTTTCATTCCACTGGGCACGAAAGTATGAAGTCCCGTTTTACTTGTTGGATGAACGCTTCTTCTCTTCCCGTCTGTACCGCAAGAGGCTGCAGCACACCTCAGGCACCCCAAAAACTCCAGTGCAGCAGCCCAGCCAATTCCTACGCCTTCCCCCATCCTCAAAAGGTATGAGGAAGAGATACGCTTGGCGAAATCACTCCACCCCCCGCCTAGAGAACTCTCGTCTTACCCCCCCCTCGACCACTTACCCACCGAAGCAGACCTGCGAGGTACCCCTCCCCATCCCCTCCGAACTCACCCCAGCACTTGACAAGGTCGCCGACGACAATGACACACGTGTGCCAGCCCCCGGCGGAGATGGCCACCGGAGTCACATCCCCGAGCTCCGTCACCGCCATGAAGTCGCCCATCTCTTCCGCCTCGTCACCAACGTCCCACAGCGTGCCCACGCCGAGCTGCCCCTTGCGGTTGTAGCCCCAGCCCCTGACAGTCTCGTCGTTCATGATGGCGGCCGTGTGCCGAAGACCGGCGGTAACGTGGACCGCCTGAAGGTCCGTGCCGAGGACGACCTCGGGGAGGAGGTTCCCGACGTCGCCGTTGTTGTCCCCCCTGTCCTTGGTGTCATTGAGGCCCAGCTGTGTGTGCACCACGAAGGGGTATGTGCGTGATCAGAACATCAGTATGGACGGCAACTCGTGCGCTTTCTATGCATGTATATCGGCCGAAAAACTTGTGCGGCGGATTAGAGAGGGGGGTTTGTGTCGTGACGATGATCCCTACCCAAGGGCACAGAACGCCGAAGAACATCCTGGTTGGTTCTTTTCAAAAACTGCTGTGCAGGTCTTGGGGCTGGCTGTGTTCTGTTGATGGTCTTGTCGCTGCGCGTTTCTGACTACAATGCAATACTAGCAACACGGATAGCATCTACTGCTGCAGTGGTAGCAAACGTGTCGCGGGCCATCAAATTAGCGATGTACTTGAAATACGCACAGAGTACATACTGATATGCATAGTATCCCAACACAAGAACCCAATCGGACGACGCATGCATGCAGAACGGGGGCGACCAACATCGACCTCAAAAACATGCCATTCCTGCGATGCATGGCAACACAACCTTTTGGGTCACTGTATGCAAGTATGCATGGTTGCACAAGAATATTTATAAGAATACTTAAGCTCACCCTCGTATGTAGTCTATGCATGTATGCATACTAGCGAGGAGAGAGGAGAAAGATGCATGTTCTCGCGAAGCGTGTGGGATACGTGCGTTACCGCACAACTATAATAACGACGCTGTAAGTATTAGTATTTACAGTATATGACACAAGATAACACACCCCCTGGACCAATTTTCAAAGCTTGATTACTTCACGACCAAGAAAGAGGATGCATCATAAACGAAATAATGCACTTTCGAAAAGCTCTCGACTAGACGGTTTCAACACCGCCATTTTCGGCCCTGTTATTGTATCATATACGGTTGATATTTAGCGCTTCTCAACGAAATATGCGGAGCGACAGCAGTGGTGGTGAGAAGTGGGACCTCAAAAGTTCTGTCTGCAGACAGTCAGCGGCACCAGCGGCACCACAGGTTTGACGAATTCGTAACCAAGCGCTGTGTTCGAATATCGAGCGCCGTTGCTGCTGCGGACGCATGTGTGTGTGCATACACGTGGTCGGAGCAGGCGCCCCAAACAAACACCAACAACGAACGAACATGGATGGAAATTTAACGAAGTGTGTCACCAACAAGTAGTTCGGAAAACGTCTCAGGATCTGTTATTGCTTGTTGGGGATGGTGCAGCATCGTTGTTGTCCTCGAAGCACAGCATACACTGCTGATGTATGCGTGTGTCTTCGATAACAAGTGGTATACTGCTGTCGACAGCGTTGTTTGTCCTCGAAGCACAGCATACACTGCTGCTCTATGCGTGTGTCTTCGATAACAAGTGGTATACTGCTGTCGACAGCGTTGTTTGTCCTCGAAGCACAGCATACATTGCTGCTGTATGCGTGTGTCTTCGATAACAAGTGGTATACTGCTGTCGACAGCAGACACCTCCCCCACCCCCCGCAGACCATAGATAAAGAACAGATATCACCAACAAAACACAAAAGGCCGAACCAGTTCATTCTTCTTGCTGCTGCTGTTGGTGGTATTTGTATCGGTTGGTGTCTTCGCCAAGTGGCAAAAGTTTAAACCACCGGCGGTCAGCATGCGCGTGTTGTGTTCTTTTCCCCCGAAATAGCCCACGAGACGGCACGGTAAAGCCTTCTGTCACAAGCAAGTCACAAGCTTCTATTCGGCGTGGATTGTTGCTGTTGTTGCTGTTGTTGTCTTCACATTAAAAGCCGTCCCGATCTCTCTCTACCCAGTACCTTCATATGTCTGTACTGATCCAACATTTGACCTAGAGTGATAGGGACCATGACCATTTGAATGCGACATCCAAAACGAAAACAATCTCAGTAGTAGACTATCGTACTCAGCGAATGAAATTGTCGGACTAAACTCGAACTCGCAACCTTGGGGAGTGCGCGATCGGTGCATCGCATGGCCCATGTCGCTCGCTACATGCAGTGGTCCAGTAGTCGACTTTGTCGGCATTAGGAAACGTAAACGCAAACACAGAAGGACTACCCATTCGAGATATGAATACAGCAGTCGAACGGGATGTGTTGAAGTCTTTGTTGGCGTGAAAAGTATTATTTGTTGCAGCCTCTTGTTGTTCCGTGAGGTGTAAACAGGAGGGTGGCCAGAGCAAGCAAAAAAAAAAAAGCGGTGTCCTGCGTCTGTGTCTTGCTGGTGCTCTGCATGGATGGGACGAAAGAGTACAAGCCAGAGACTGCTACAACATGACGACAAGTGAAGAAGCACGACCGACAGGCCGTCACCCCAAGGTGCATGTATTCATACGTCCATAAGGACGCCTGCGCTCAGTACATCGCACGAAGAGGCTGCTGCTGAGTTGAGAGGCTATCAATGTGACGGGCTGGTCTCGAAATTGTGTGGGTGCACCAACACCAATTATCTATGCAGCACTGGTTTTTGTTTGGGAATGAACGCACACGTTGTTGCTATGTCGGCCGCAACAGCAGCAGCAGCAGAAACATAGAGCATGCATCCCAGCCAGTGATGACGACTTGAGGGAAACAAAAAGAAAGGGAAGGCACCTTACCCTTATCGCAGCCGCGCTACATTAAGGGGCGTTGCGGGATGCTGTCTCCCCCTGCATCATGTAGATATTCGGCAAGATGCTCCCCGACCCCCCGCCAAGCTCCTTCAGGCTACTTCAAGGAACGTGATGTACTCTAGTTTCACCAGGAGATACGCCAGATGTGGTGTACATGTAAATGTAGGGAGGGAGCAAAGATCCCTCTACCTACCGGTTGGCATGCCTTGCATCATCAACAGGAAGTATTGGATAACCGTCTACTCCTCGCCATGCAGAATGTGTCGGCGGGAGGAGGCCGGAACTCAAAGAAGGCCGCTCCGTTCCGAGAGCACCCATCACCGGGCGGCAGGGGGGAACAATCGATTTTTTGTCTCATTTCCAAACGATTGCATCCCAAGGGCACGCTCTTGTGGGCGGCTGGCTCTGCTGGCGTTCTACTTTTGTAGGCAGCCAGAAAATACAAGGAGTGAGAAAGGAGGGCCACCCTTCAGATATGTTCCGTATACTGCTGTTGTTGTTCCTCCTTGCGGAGACTTTATACTCTTCCCAGTGGAACAGTCGGAGATTGGCAGGAATTTGGCATCTCTCCTTCCCGTCCGTTGCCTGCTGGAGCGAGCAGCTTTCGCCGCTGAAAATATCTAACCAAACCAGCCGTTGATGTTGTTGTTTTCTTCACATTAAACTCGTGTCAGTTGCTAATCCCAAAATCTAGCAAAGACTCGGTTCGTGCATCAAGGTTATTATGATTGCACGTTCTTCTCGCGAAAAAAACTCTCACCTGGCCTTTGCCATTCGCCCCCCAGTCCTTCACCACGTTCACCGTGCTATCCCTGATTATCACCACCACGTGGAAGGAGCCCGCGTCCATGTTCGTCACCGGCGCCAGCTCGTCAGCGAGGGAAACCGATGCAGACGACGACGCCGAGGAACCAATCTCCGCCGGCGAAGAGGTCCCGAACGACGACGTGGCTGCAGCGCCCGGCACGGCACTGCTAGACGTAGTTGCCGCCATCATGCCTCCCAAACACCACCCCAACAGCAGCAGCAGCGGAGCGGGGAAGCGCATCCCGACCATCTTAATTGCTGCCCGCTCTCGCTCTCTCTCTCTCTCTCTCTCTCTCTCTCTCTCTCTCTCTCTCTATCTCTCTCTCTCTCTCTCTCTCTCTCTCTCTCTCTCTGCTGTGTGTGTGTGTGTGCGATGCGCGCGTTTCCCGCAGCGGGGGCGAAAGGGAGAATGAGAACGGACGGGAGCCTATTTATTTTTTTGGGGGGGGAGACTAGCACTCACACAGCAGCAGCAACACCAAAAGATGAAAAAGACAAGGAACGGTACGCACCGGTATCCCCTTGGTCTCCCTCTACCTATCGATCGATCGATCGATGGTCTGTCTCTCTCTGTTGTCTGCCACACCCAGCAGCAGCACCGCCACACAGCCAGCTGTTTGTGATTGGAGTGCGTCGCTATGTTGTACGCCTGCTGGGGAATCACACAACAAGAAAAAGCTGTTTTCGGCTCTACCGCGTTGTGGATGTGGTGGGCGTGGCGGGGGAAAAGGAGCAGAAATTGGGTGTGGCTCTCGCTTGAAACGTACTTCGAATAAAATATGCTGGATTTTTTCGTGTGTGTGTGTGTTTTTTTTTTATGTAGTATATGTTTTTTTTTGGAGTATGACACAACGAATCTTCAAACATGTACCACGAAAACTGAGGACCTCGGTTGCTGTTTGCCGTCGGATCGAGTTCATCTTCTTCGAAACACGAAGAAATGGAAATGATTGGTTCCGAGTTCTTCAAGGTGCAGCCGCGCAGGACTCTTGAACCCCCGTTGGCCGCTCGCTGACCCAACTGCTGCGTCTGTGCGTAGCAGTTGGGTCAGCGAGGGTTCAAGAGTCCTGCGGTACGTTGGTACCCACACGCGATGATATGCAGCTACAGCAGCAAGCTACCCATGCCACCGTTGAGAATCTCACATATGTGAAGACCAATAGACACAACAGTTCCCGTCAGCCGTTCGCAAGACGGCGTTACTTCAGAATTTGTGTAAAAGACTACAACTGCTGTATTTTTTCTCGTCTCTTTGTGCTCGTCGGTTTCGCACGATAACCCATCGTCAGCAAGGTGTATCTACCGCAGACCTGCTGGTGTAAGTCCGCTCCCGCGAAGGTGTCACGTAATGAAACGGCTGTTTGTTGATGGTTGACGTCTTCGCGTTTTTAGTTGCAGGAATATTGATCCTGGATGAGGAACTACTTGCGAACGAACTCTCTCATCAGCCAAATCAGAAAGAAGCCACCATGGCAGCAACACTTCAGTCTTTGTACAGTCAATCTTGTTGAGTCTTCAAGGCAGAGCCTCGATTCGTCGAAAAATCAGCAGGCCACCCGGTGGTGTTGGCGTCAGCTCTGCAGAATTTCTTTTGGAGAAGGCCAGAATTGCACACCTAAGTTGCACAAATATTACGTGGTGGCGAGTGGGGTGATGTCGGAATTCACAAGCGGGCAAGGCGGTTACTGTGGGTCGACTCGGCATGGCAACGGCTCGTGTACACCCGCGTCAAGTGTCCGCCGTCAACAACCTAAATCAAACCGACGGGACCAACATCACGATCTGCCTCGGGGGTCCGAACGATTATCATCATGATGGTGGGGTGAATCGTACACCGATTGTGTCGTCACAACAAAAGCTCGGAGAGGCTCGTTCATCATCAGGTCGCCTTGGTTGCCGAGCAAAATGACCGCTGACACAAGCCCACCCAGTCCCACGGCAACGGGATCACGTCTTTACGTATGGCAGGAAGAAAAAAATAGCGGCTGAAACATCTAGAATTGGTCTCTCCACGCTTTGGGCCTCTCCTCTCACCCTTTCAGACCCTTTCGTGGTCACTCGCACACCCTTCGCACCAGCTAAATGAACGGACGAATAAAGGCCAGACTTTCTCCGCGTACCACAACACGGTCGGAGACACTTAAGCTTCGGTGGGGTTGTACAGGAATGAGCAACGCAGAGTGGGCGCAAGGCACCGTCCCGATAGGTAACCATCATCGCCGGCACCGTTTTGTCCAACAAGTCCGCTGCGCGGGTAAGACACTAATTTTCACGCAAACAAAAAGCAAAGATCTATCGCCGGCCAGCCTTCTCTCGCGCTCCAATGCCTCCCTACGAGTACGCCTCTCTGCCTGACTCAAACTTTTCACCCTAGCGCTAGAGATAAGCAAACACTAGCACCACCTATCACCTCTCACAAGTCAAGTCCCAATCATTCGCTCAGGGTGTGGTTTCAACCTAATAGCCAACACCAATATTTCAGTCTCGATCGCGCGCGCAAACCCCACGCCTGGGGAGACGAGGGAGGGGGGAGGGGGGGGGGGGGGGTCTCGCCGTAGCCAGCGAGAGGGGTGTGGGGTGGGGGAAAAAGAACGGGGGGGAGAAGGGGGGGCGCTTACACGACACACCAATTGCGTGCCCAAAGCCGGGCTTCCTTCAGTTCAGGTGGGTCGACAACAAAGCCAAAACAATCGGCCGTACCCGCCGCGCAGCATTCGTAAGAACACCAAAATACAAGACTAGGCAAAAACAACAAATGCTCCTCCGTTTTACGCAGCAGGTACCAGCGAGCCTCCAAGGGGGGGGGGGGGGGGGGGGGG